TGCGACCTACTTCAGCCCTCTCCCCCTGCGCAGCAGCCGCAAACTCACTGATGCGCCTGCAGCCTTTCCTGCTGCTCTAAACATTAAAATAATTATTTCATTTTCTGTTCCTCACTTCTGATTATCTTCAGTGGTGTCTGTTTGTTGCAACCACCAGGTACAAAAACAAACTTGTTTTTATTTGACTATTTTTCTGTCCTGTCTGTTTATTATCTTCCTGTATTTCCTCCCAATCCTAAAGAAAAACTGCTACCTGGGTTCATATATATTCACCTTATGAGGTACCTTTGAACTGCAGTTCTAAAAGATCTACCGACCGCAAAAACAGCGGAGTGCCGCTGCTCGCCGGCCGACTACAACGGGACCGTTTTTGCTGCAGAGTTCGTGCCGGAGCGGAGATAGTGGAATTTTGGAGGTGCGTCACCGGAGGACAAAACAGGTGAAGAGCCTCGCTCCACAGCAGCGAAACGCATCAGGCACATATAACAGACAGAAAACATTAAAGGAAATGAGCCGACATAAACGATCGCGTGTTTAATTTGTTTTTGAGGTGGTGACACTTGATTTGGCGGTGCTCAGGACGCAAATGTCTGGAGCGCGTCAGCGATCAGAGCTTTGCATGCACAAACCGGTTAAGATTAGGATGGGGGTGAGGGGAAGGTAAAATTACAAGAGGGAAAAGGTCACAATTTGGTTAAATGTCCGTTTTACCGCCGGTGTCAGTACTGACGCTCTGGCACAGCGTGTCGCCTCCGCCTCCCGTGGCGCAGGGGCTCATCACCTGTTGTCTTTTCCGAGGACTGCATCTTGTCAGTCATTATCACGTGACAGCGACTAGTCAATGACAGGCATAAAAAGTCACTACAGAGCCGTGAAGTCGACTAGTCAACTAGTTCATACAACCCCTAACAGACACACACACACACACACACACACACACACACACACACACACACACACACACACACGCGCGCGCGCGCGCGCACACACACACACACACACACACACACACACACACACACACACACACACGCATGCAAACCTTTTCTGTAGCAACTGTTATTCGGCTACTTCAAAACATCCACTATTCCAAACCATTTCTACCTCTAACATTTTTTTCCAAACCTGAGCTCTCTTAAAGACTAATTTCTAACGCTGTCCATCTTAACCACTTTTGACATGTTCAGTTTTACAACCTCATCTTTTTAAATTTGCAACACCATTTGCAACATCTCATGACTACAACATGTAAACCCTCTGTTTCACTTTTGCAGCTCTTGTTCTGACGCAAGTCACCCCCGACCCTGCAGTGGTGAAACTTTACAACAGTGTTCTGATCAATGATTGTTACCTCTGACATGTGGCGTACCTCAGGGATCTGTTATTGGCTTCGTTACAGAGATAAAGACATTCACTTGCACATTCTATCACTTTATACTGATGATACTCACACTTATCTGTTTACTAAGCCTGATGATTGTGTAAATACCATTCTTCATAAAACCAGGAAGTGGATGGCTTCACTTTTCGTTCAGGTAAGGTTCGAATAAAATTTCATTTTTGTCCAAACTCCATTTCTATAGTTTCTCTCACTGTTTGCACCAAATCATCTGAAAAACAACCCCCAAAGTGTATGGGCTATCTTTTTAACAAACATGTCAAGCCTGTAGATGTGGACTTCCACTTTAGATAAAAGGGCCCAAAAATTCAGTTTCCTTTTCAGCAATTAGACACGGTGCTTCATGCCTGTGTGTAATCACATATAATCTGCTGTAACTCTGCTTTAGGGCTCGGCGATACGGCCTAAAATAAACATCACAATATATCCAGGAGTTCACTTTGATAACGATAAATGGACTACAACTACATATTTGCGCATAAATAAAAGCTGCCCACTAGATGGAGCTGTCACGTGTCATGTGACTCCAGATGGAACAGCTTCTTAAAGGGACATGAACCTCACAACCCACACACATCTTTCTATTTGTTTTATTACTGAATTTTTGGCATGGGAAAAATTATATCGGTTAGAGTCAGAAATTTCGATAAAAATTAATTTTCGATTTATTGCCCAGCTCTGTTTATCCTTGTTTAAACCAAGACTCCCTATTTAGTCCAAACCTCATCAGCAAGACCACATTTTGCTCTCAAATCTTCCTCATTCTCACCTCACTACACTGGCTTCCTGTAGAGTTCACGTTTCATTTTAAACTCCTCTACAAAGCGCTGAACCATTGAACCCTCTAAGGTTCTCATCAAGTCCTCCAAGTTGCGCAGGGGTCTTTGCGTTCTTTGATCAGGCTCTTAGAATATGGCATCACCCTCATGTAGAAGTCTGATTAGCAAGCTCTCTAGAGTTTTTAAAATCTCAACTAATTTTAAAATTCAAGTTTGATTTTTGCATTTTTTTTATTTACACACATGCATTCTGTCTGGCTTTTATAGGATTTAATTCGTCTGCCTTTCCAGGTTCTCTTCCACCTGCTCCCACTGCAGCCAACAATATTGTCTGAAACATGGTCCATGGGGATTCCTGCTTGACCTCATCACCAAATAAAATGAACTGTGCGACCCTACTGAGTCTATTAGTATTCTAGGTATAAATGCAGGAATGGTGGGATTTATAACAGTCATTTGTATCATTAAAACCAAAATTGTTGATTTCACAGCCACTATAATTCAGTTGTACAGCATGATTCAACATGTGCAGAACATGTCATAATTAGACTAATACAGTTCAGGTCAACATGCACCAATATAGTTATCATTCCTTTATAAAGTGCCCTCCAGTGAGCTATGTCACAGGTTGCTCTATAATAAAAGTAATTAGGCTTTTCATTCAGTTAATCAAGAATATTCTCTGTGAGGTGTTCAGGAGAAAGTGCCACGACAATGGCCTTATTTCTAACCCTTCCTTCTTACACCCACCAGAGAGAGATCTGTGGAAGCACATTCAGTGGCATGTGATGCTTCTTCAGGGATACAGTCCTAATTGATTTCCTTTGTGTCTTTGTCTCTCCCGTGCATCTCTAGCTGCAACGTGTTGGAGAAGAGGGAAGGGAATTCATCCAAGGTCATCTTCCAGGATAGCAAATAAAAAAGTTTCAGAAGATTTGCTGAGTTTTGAGCCAAACTACAGACTGGAATCCACCAGGGAAAACACCTGCCCTGCCTGCACGCTTGTCTGCTCGTCATCCTGACTACAGCAACATCTGGCAGAGGAGCAAGTAGATTCAAAATGAACATCTGCAACAGCAGCAAGCTGCCAAGTAAACAGGTCTAATGAAAGTAGATACAGTTCCCAAAAATCAGGCTACAGTCGACTATTCCTTTTTCTTCAATTAAGCCCATACCGGCAGACATAAAAACACAGAATATTACATGGAGCCGTGGAAACTCAAAATGATCAAATTGAAGATTATTGTGTAAAACCCTCCCATGCTGCATGTCTCTTGTTTTTTGCCATAAAAGAGCTCTAGGATTTAAAACAGGATTCTTCACATGCTGCACACTTAACGAGTGCACACTGCAACTACACACGATTGGCCCGCAACAGTCATGTGACTGCAGACTGTAGTCCCTTGTGTTAGGCCACAGTAATTGAAGCTTCCATATGGTATAGATCATATGTAGCGTTCACCACAGCATTCCTCCTGCACTGAGGCTCTACACTCACATCCAGATTTAAAAACAAAGCTGTGGAAAAACCATGCTGCATTCTCTCATCACAGAGTGTCACTCATATTTAACACTTGCTAATGATTTCTCTGACAGCAGAAGAATTTCTCTTGCAGGGTGTTTGAGGCAATTTATGTATTATTTATACATAAGTAGCAACATGCTGCAAGGATCCAAGAAGAGTATGTGTTTGTGTTGGGAAAATAACAAAAGCAGAGCAAATGTATAATTTATTTTGTATGGTGGATTATGCTACAGTACATTTCTCCTTTACCATTTCAACAAAAGACAACATAAACGCAAACATTTAACTATTGAGTCATGGAAATCCCTGGATATTTTTTATAATGTTAAAACCTTGCATGTTCCAAATTATCATTCCATGAGTCACTTGGCATGTTTTTGCCTCGATAGAACACTGTGTACATTATTTTGTGCATTGACGTCTAGGCAACAGCAGTATGTGTCCTTATTTTGGTTCAGTCACTGATACAATTCACTTGTACGTGTAAATTTTTGCTAATAAAATGATCTGTACATATTGTTCTGCTAGTGTTGTTAAGGCCGGTAAACACCTTCAGAATAAGATGAGAGTTAAACTGCTTCTTTTAAAATAATACACATATTTGGAAATGAATTAAATGAGCGAATAAACCCATGATACATTTCTATATACAATCCCCATGAACTCCTTGTACAGTTCATAAACATAGTGAATGACGAATGAAATGAATGAAAAGCTTTATTTGTCCCAGGGAAGGGAAATTAGTGGGTCAACTCCTTGAGTTTTGGGGCTTATTTAAAATATATTGCATTCAGTTTGCATTTTTATAGCAAAATAATGAAATTGTTGATTTCACTGAGCACAGCAGTGTAGACGATAAAATAATTATTAATTACACCCATTCTAACGTCAAGCGTGACCCAGAGGTCACGTAAAGGGGTTTACTCTCAAATCTCGCGATATTTCAGTTGATGAGGGAGAACAAAAAATTGGGACAAAGTTACAAAAACAGGCGAGTTTACTTTATCTTAATAACTATTCTAACTACCAGATAACTACTTTAACTATTAACAAAAACACGACTAAACCGAAAGGCGGTGGGCTACTGCGGTGACTGTGACGCATATTGAGATATATATTAAGAAATAATGGCGTAGTTAGCCACTGACGATGTTATAAAGGTAATAAGTAGTGAGATTAACGCGCCCTTTGTTATCCGTGCCGATAAGTTGGGTTTCCTGAAAAGGTGTACTGTCTCTTTAAGGTCTCTCGGGCAGTCTGTTTCGTATTGATCAATCCACCATTTTCCAACACACAGCTCCGGCAGCGGGAGAGAGCAGAGAGCCACCCCTCTACCTGGAGAGGAAGCCCGGGACCGGGGGCAGTCATGGCAGCCAACATGTACCGGGTTGGAGGTAAGCTTTGGGGCGTTTGCGTTTCGGAGCCGTGTGGCGTTTTTACTCGGCGGACTCGCCATTACCCACGGAAGCTCGTTATGAGCGTGGCTCGTCTTTTAAAAACATTTCCGTAAGCTGGGAGAGCTTTGTGCTTCTCGCAGATGATGGTGAGGAGGAGGAGGATGGTGATGAAGAGCAGCGAGCGGTTCTCTTAAACATTTGCTTCTTTTGCTGTTTTCCCCCTTAATGAACCCAGAGAGCCATCTCGGTGTTCTGGCACACCTGAACCCTCCATGACGGTTTAGTTTATTTTAAATAACATGTCACGGGTTTTCTGAAAGTTTCACCTAACTATTGTTCTTTCTGCTGCCTCCTGTAAGGAACATCGTGAGTACTTTACTGGAACCGCATAGGCATCAATGCAAGGAGGCAGCCGTGACAAAAACTTTACACTACATTTAGTTTTAACACTTTAAATGTAGAAATGACCAACAAAATATTCCAGATTAAGCTTTTTGCACATCCAGGGAGTCTCTTAATACCTAATGAAGATTCTTGAGTCCCACTCAGGTAAGACAGGTGTAAGATAGTCACGTGGCAGTGTCCAATCGTGATCTTTTTGTTTTTATTTATTTATTTTCCACATACTTTAGTGCCCAGATTAGTGTCCACTCCTGTTTGGAATGATGTTGTATAGTGAGCGTTTCTGTGTTGTTGTACATTACCACATATTTACTCTGACAACTGTTCTGTAATTCAGGGATGCTGTGACTGTACTTGGCTCGGATACAGCATCAGAAATAGCCCAAAGTGAACGTCATATATCAAATTAAAGGAGGCCTACCTGCGTGAGAACAGGATTAGTCCAGAGAGGGGTAGAAAGTTAACAATTCAGTCACCAAATGTCACTTTGTTCAGTTTCTTCATGCCACTCAGTTTTATTGATGCGCTAGGTTTTTCAAACCAGTTGTGCAAAGATTATTTTCCTTTGCTGTTTGTTTATTAGCTGAAAATGCACATTTTGGAACACATGTTACTTCACTTTACTCCAGCAAGTGATATATATCAAATGGCACTAAACCACTCACATTTACGTCTTAAGTTGTTATTTTAGTAAAATATTGTTGAGTCTGTCTAGTAAACCTAGTAATAATTGAATTTGGCCAAACTGAACTGAAACCACAACAATGAACTCTTATTAATTGCTGAGTAAACACACTTTGGGATTATTTTTCTTCTGTTGTAATAATCTAGATTAAAAAAAGGCCAGAAATGAGGCCTGATAACAAGGATCCTTTCAGAGCAGCATCACAACAAAGAGCTGCCCTTGAAGAGATGGCTGCAATTTTACAAGATAATAAGAAGCATCCTTGGGCTTTGATGTCTTTTTATTTTTATTTTTTTAACTGTGCTGGCCACAAACCACCCATCCGCTGCCTGTATCACCTTTTTCCTTGTGTCCCCATCCAAAAAATATGTTGAAGAAGTGTGTCAGACCACCAAGTTCAGACCTAGTTCAGTAAATTGCTGAGTAAATGGGAAGAGGAATTGTACGTGGTGGTTTGATTTTATTATTATAAATTGTAGAAATCCAGCATTTTTATTGGAGGGATTTAGTCAGTGGGCATGCATCATGAAATGAATGTGATTGGCTAATAAAGGACCATGCTTAATAATTGTTTGTTATACAGAAGTTGTGCCAAGCTTAAGAATAGGGTTTGTTTAATCTACATAACAGCTGAGGTAAAACACACACACACACACACACACACACACACACACACACACACACACACACACACACACACACACACACACACACACACACACACACACACACACAGGCAGCTGCAGCAGTAGGTTTTCTGTGACGTTTTGGGAAATCTCACAAATCATATTTTATTCCATCAACTGCAGCCCTGTCCAAACTTTTTTCCCTGAGGTTTAATGTAAAACCGCTATCTTCAACTCCGTGCAAACCACTCGAGCTGCAACAGAAAATCTGCACCTGTTCTTAAAACGCATTTCATTTTAAAATATTCTTTTATTTCCTGCATCCGATTCTGATCTGCTTGAATAACGTCGTTATGAGAAAAAACACCCAGAGTTTTGAGAGGCGGTGCAGCATCACATCTGATAAACAGCAGCTAACATGTAAAATGTCTGTTTTTCTTGATCAGAGTAAAAGTAGATTTCCTTTTTGATTCTGTCCTTTTTGTTGTAAAATGTATTTAAATTATTTGTGTCTACATGTTGAGAAATTAACTGTGAGAATATTAAGTGCCAAAACCTGAAATTAGTGTCTTAAAAGCCTTTTCGTGCAAGATTACAGAATTAGCTCTAATCTCTCGTTCCCAGCATTTGTGGAGCAGGAGTCCATTATTAAGCCCCTGTTTCTACTAGAAGCTGTGGTAACTCTGCTAGTTGGTATTTTTCAGAACTGCAACAAGCCAATCAGCAAAATGTTCCCCTAAAATGCATCCACCCACTGGTCACTTTATTAGGTACAGCTTACTGGAGGCAGATGCCTTCAGAAATGAATTCTACAAGATTATAGATGCATTTCTCAGAGTCCATGTTGGTCCAAATTAACATGACTGCATCACATAGCAACATACACGATGAATCTCCCATTCCACCACATCTCTAAGTTCTGGGGCCTCATTTATCAGGCTTGCTTACGCACAAAACGGGGTCAGAAAACTGCGTAAGCAACTTTCCACGCAAACTTTGGGTTTCATGAAAGAAAACGTAGTAGAAAAATGTGCGCAACTTTAAGTTGACTAAGGACCTGGCTTACGTACATTTTGGACATGGAGAGCACCTGCAGTGTTGCTGCTGAGAAGGATAAAATTATGAAATCCTGCAGCATTATCACTTGTACTGCTTTGTTTTCACACAGAACAAGACCCCCCCCCCCCCCCCCCCCCCCCCACACACACACACAGCCTGAAGCGCAGAATACGGAATGCAAAATATCAGCAAGGGGACAGATTGAGACAGAATGTCATGCGTCTGTGACAGTGTGTGTCCTGTCACTGTGACTCGATTGATCAGTAGCCCTGGCTACTTGTACAGGGGAGATCTCCATTTGGATGACTGGTTAGCGTGCGTGACTTTCACCCAGGAGTCTGGGGATCGAATCCCGATTGGACCATTTTTTTATATCCGCCACAGATCTCTCTGAAGAATTCACAACATTGACTGCTTCAGCAACGCTGTGCCACTCCGTGGATTTTCTGTTATTTTTTTTGCAAAAGCACTTCCTTTCATTTCTCCACCTCACCCACAAGTACCTCAATTTCTGCTTCTGTGAAATAGCGCTTCCTTGATCTGCCTTGATCTATAGTCGCCATGTCATTGGCGGAGCGCTGCAACAGCCGGCTTATGTATATGCATGAGATCCACAAGGCATTTTGCATTGACTATTTATGGCAGTAAGTGGGCGTGGCGAGGGCGGGATGTGACTAAAATTCAACTGAGAAACAGTCTCCGATTTATGAAGTGGAGATTGCGTGCAGCTGTGCATACTCCATGTTTGATAGATCATAAACCTACTTGGCGTAAGTACATTTTTTTTGGTTGCTGAGCTTAAAGGGGCATTATGGAAGTTTGGCAGCCAAAACATGTATAGAAATAATAAATGTCTTCTTCATACATTCTCCTGCAATGCCCTGGTCCTGTAGAATGAGCCCTGGCATTTTTACTGTGATTGCCTGTTTTTTTGTAAAATCACAGAAAAAGAGAGATGCTCAGGTCGAGCAGGCTGCTTCATGCTTCATGCTCAGGCATAGTCCGTAGCATTTGCTATCAGTAGCTTTAGCAGCAGAGAGTGGGGTAGTGCCAACTAGGGTTGTCACGGTAACCGGTGTAGCGGTAAACCCCGGTAAAAAAGTTGACAATAATAATAACCGTCTTGTTTTAAAAAAAACTATATTATCTCGGTGGGTTTACCGTGGCTGCGGTGTAGGCGCGGTGACCCTTTCCAGCCACCGTATCATCTGCTGAAGGTGCCGGAGGCACATGCGCACTTTGTTGTTTACAACCAAAACTTTCTTGTAGCTAAAGCTGAAATAATGGCCAAAGGAGGAGACGGCAGCGCTCAGGAGGACATTTGTTATCCCTCAAAGAAGACAAAGTGGGAAGTACGGGCATCTTTTGGATATTTGAAGGATGTCGAGGGACAGTTGATGGAAGACGGCTATCCTGTTTGCAGCACGTGCAGAAAAAGTGTCTGTGAAAGGTAGGGCTGTAGCGAAGCCTCGACGAAGTCGACGGCTCGATTCTAAAAATTTGTCGACGTCAGATCCGGTAGTCGACGCACCGCGCCCACTTGTTGCATCCCCAGGAGTTTGTAAATAGAGGAGGAATCTGCCTGTTTTTCCTCTAGTTCGCCCTCTTCTCCGCCTTCACTAACATCTCCGCCAAATACCGAAGACCCGGAACAACGTCCGTCCACTACTAGATTATTTTCCTGTTTTGCCCCTTCGTCTCCCGGCAACGGACAACAACTTCCGGGGTCAGATGCGCTGCTTCGTGTCTATCGCAGATGTAGAAAATCACCGGGAGCGCTTCTCCCTTCATTAAGGAGCTTCTTTCAGACATTAGGAGAGCTGTTTTGGTGGTAGCAGTCTCTCCTCCTTGCTGGTCTGTTTGCTGCTGGGTGTTTTTGGTTTATTTAAACTTGGTAACTTGAACTTAATGTTGGTAAAGTTACTGTTAGCATCTTCGCTAACAGCTTCTTGCGTTGGGATAAGCTGTTACGTTTTGGTTTAGAGTTCATCTTTTTTGTGGTGTAGATCTCCCTTTCATTACATTTAGAGTGTTGTGGGTTTTCGGTTTAGTGTAAAATATCACCTGAGTTTGGTTTAACTCGTAAGACCACTCGCCTCACGCTCTTAAGTGACCAAAACAAAGCAGCATGGAGACACTCCATCTTCTACCACCTCTCAGGCAGCAGCCTGCACTCCCAAGTTCTACAGTCACCAGAACATAACCAACCAACACAATAAAAGCAG